CTCAGCCCCAAATGGAAAGAAAACAGGGGCAACTTCAAAGGCCGAGAGCACTGTAATTTCAGCAATCTCATAGGAGGAGCTTTAGATGAAGTCAATTGTCTTTCTTTGCAGAAGTGATGTCCAACCGAATGGAGGGGATGATGACCTCTTATACGCCGCTTGCACCGCCACAGCAGCAGATTGTAGCGATGGATCAGAGCAGCTATGCCACTGACCCCTTCCAGCAAGGTCTCACACCACCACAAATGCCAGGTGACCACATGAACCCCTATGGTAAGACTCACTGGGAACCAGCTGCTGTTGGCATGTCCAAGGTAGAACATGGAAGCTTCGGTCTAGGATTCCCAAGCCCACACTCTTGAGAGGTCTCCCTGTCATTCTACAGGGTGGAAAGCCCTGGGAGCAACTTGATTCAAATGCTAAGATTAGATGCTGTTTGTATCCAAGGCATTGTTTTGGTCATCTTCTGGAGGAAATAGAGTTCCTTCCACCAGGGTCCAAAACAAGCAAAGAGGGAAGATGAGTCTCCATTGAGCCTCTGGAAGCCTCTCCTTTCTGTTCTGCTTGTGCTAGACTCTACCAGAAAGACTTCTGCTCCTTTATATAGTAGTTCAAAGCAATGGCATTTCTGAATGAAGAATTATGAGCCCTTTCAAGCGCCATCATACTTCTAGTAATGCCACTGGAAATGTAGCAGGCTCTGAATTCTTCCCTTAACTTCCCACCAGCCCTCACCCTTCTCACCCAAAATCCCCCTAAATCTTCTTAGCTGGCCGGCAGAAGCCACACAAAGATACCAGGGCCCTCTCTAGCTCAGGTTTTTGGGTTGCCACTATGATAGCGATCTAAATGTCAGGGATCTTGGGAAATGTAATTTCTTCTGGAAGGAAAAACAAAAAACCAAGGGAGGCAGGAGGAATCTTCCTGCTGTCACCACAGCCCTTGTGCCTGTATTAACTGGTTTTTAAAACTAGCCCAGCAGCTTGCAAAATGGTTCAAAAGCTGACCATTTGCTTCTGGAGATGGTCCAGACTTGAACATTATTAGCTGTTTTACCTTTGACATCACAATGCCCTACTTATGTGATATATTGTCAATCCAGCATTCCTAGTAGGTCTCATGGGGATTTGGGGCATGCCTATAATAATTGCTTAAACTATAACTCTCTGATGGAGGCCTTGGGATCTTCAGCTCTGTGAGGGAGGGGACCATGGGATATTATCCAGAGAATTCTTTTCACCTTCCCCAAACTCTGCTTCCCAGGATTCATGGCAGTGGCAGACTTTGGGGTCTCAAATTCCGTGGTGCCCTGTTTGATGTCAGAATTCAGCCCTCCCCACTTCTCATGCTTTCTTCTAAATATTAGTTGAGGTGTCCCTGGTAGCACCCCCAAGCCTCTTCACCCAGTGCAACCAAACCAGTCTCACTCCCCTAAATCTGCCTCTGTTCATGGGAAGGAGGCAATGAAGCCATGGCAGCTAAACTGGTATGAAGCCAACCAAAGTATGTAGTCTAGATGCTTGCTTCATATTCTAAGGAGGCAGAAAAGAATCCAGCACCCTCAATAACCTGTCTCTCCACTACCTCATCATGAGGAATGCAAAGTCAGATGTGGTTTTGGCAGAAGGCTGAGTTATCACCTTGCTTATACAATTCCTTAGCAATGCAAATTGATGTGCAGACCTTATCTCCTCAATCGTCACACAACAACAGTGTGTGGGGTGTAACATTTAAGATTCCCAATCAGAAGATGAAGGATTTGTGGTTGGAAGATCACGACAGATCTGAGGCCACCTAGTCAGTCTGTGGGACTGAGCAGGCACCTGCTGTTCTATATTCCACACTGAGTCCACCAGGCCACATAATGCTGGTAAAATAATGACTCTTGCCTTGATGGATCAGACTAAAGGCACATCTAGTCCAGAAAGCTATCTCCTGCCACAGTGGAGGAACTGTGTGTTAAACTGGTAGGGGAGGTCACAGGGTGGACTGAAGAGTGGGCAGCTTCCGTTAATGGAGTGAGTGAGCAAAAGCTTTGCTCTTCTCCCAGTTCCATATTTGCCACTGACACCATTTGATACCGCCATTCCTGGGAGCCACAGTTTCCTGGGATGGAATGCAGAATCTCTTCTCTGTGACCAAACAGCTTCCCACAGATCACTTACTCATGTCAGTTAGAAAAAGGAACTTTCTCTTTTTGATTTTTCTTTTCTTTTTAAAGCCCTTCCTAAATGCTGCAGACTGCAATGCAAACAAGTCCTTGGCAAATCCTCACCTCTTCTCCACCCTCGCAATGCAGTCATTAAACTCTGCAATGATTAGGAGCCCAGAGAAATAAAGCTTTGGATTTGCAGGCAAATGTTAGTCCCACTCAGAGCCAACCCATTGAAAATAATGGATGGGACTAACTTAGACTCACCGGGCTGGGTTTAATTAATCCAGTACACTAGCGGAAGCCAGTGCAAGTACTCACACTAGTGCAATATCCCTTCCCCCCCTCTCCCACATTGTCCCCCCGCACCTCCCCTAAATCCTTTGCCAGGACTATACCACTCCAGACTGCTTGGCTGGAATGCTGTAGAAAATTAGCCTGAGAGGGAGCAGGGTTTTAGGCTAGCTTTCTCCCTAATGGGCTCAATTGCTGCATACAGGGAGAATTTTCACTGTGTTTGCTCAGACATGAGATTTTCTCCACCTACAGTGATACAGCACATGAATAATAACACTGGTTACACTGGTTTCCACAAGAGGGGCAGCTGCCTCCCCCTTTACGGTGGATGAACCATAATCTCCAGACACTTGGCTTTCATTTTGTTTTTAATGAGTTAGACTGAATTCACATAGCAGTTTATTCTGTTTCCCGGGTGTTTCAATAATTGTCAATTTCCACATTATACCGTATTTACTCGAGTCTAATGTGCCATCGAATCTAATGCACAGCTCAATTTTCAGAACCTTGAAACAAAAAAAAAGTATTTGCTGGCGAATGTAAATGTGCCATCGAATCTAATGCACACCTTCATTTTTGCAAAAAAATAATTTGGCCAAAAAAGGTGAGCACTAGGTTTGAGTAAATACGGTATTTGAGCTTTCGTACAACATAAAAGACACTTCTCAAAATACAGTGGAACGTAGCACAAGTTTAGCACTCATTTCCATGTTATTTGCAAATAACATGGGGAATGAGTGCTAAACTTGCCATATTATGTGGCAGCGCCAGAAGTACTTCTTACATTTCATGAAAGCTCAAATCCAAGGTGGGAAACTGTTAGGGGAATGTCAGATTAAACTGCCCTGTGAATTCAGCCAAAGTTTCTAGCATTTTTAGAACTTTTACTCTCCCTGTCCACCAAAAATTCCTGCAGATGCCCCCAACCACGCCCATGGGAAAATAGCAATGAGAAGGAGAAAGGGAGAGAGGAGGGGAATTAGCATGTCAGGCTGCCCTTGGCATACTCATGTTCTGCAAAAGGGGTATTTTTCATGTAGGGGCAGCAATCAAGCATGAGATTTCCCTCCAAATGCAGTGCGAAGTGGCATGGCTCAAGAAAATCCATATCACATTATTCTGCTGTGTGTGCAGATGGGCTTCCATTGCATGAGGTGATAAGGGAACCCCAGGTCTCTTTCTCTGAGTGAGCAATTCAGCGTGTTCTAATGTGCTTGTGTTGCTGTTTTTTGTGCCTCACAGGGAATGACTCGATTTTCCACGACATCGACAGCGATACCTCTCTAACTAGCTTGAGCGACTGTTTCCTGGCCTCCTCAGAAGTAAACTCCATGCAGGCCAGGGTTGGAAACCCAATTGACAGGCTGTACTCTATGCAGAGTTCTTATTTTGCCTCATGAAATTCAAGGGAAAACAAGGGGGAACCCTGAAAAGAATGCCCATCTTCACAGATGACTCCCCAAACCCTCACGTGCCCCCTGATTTCTCAGCTCAGACTCTTACAGCCATATTTTCCTCAGCTCTACCTTCATGCTGACTTCAGGCTCTGTGACAACAGGAGTGTTAAATTAAGAGACTTTCATTTTTTTAAAAAAAAAATGAAATTTCAAGGCTGCTGCCAGATCATCCACAGAAAAAATAAATAAATATCATGGCACTAGCATTGAGCTCAGGAGGAACATGGCAACGCCCAACTACATGGCATCAACAGCCCTCCATTTTGATTCCGCCATCGCAAAGGAAAGCAAGATGAACACCATGAAACCTATTAACCTTTTGGAGCCTCTCTCAGATTCCTGGAGCCACCAACATCACCGCCATTTTGAGGGGGGGTATTGACCCATGCAGCAAAAAAGGTCGGAGAAACATGTTAGTTGTGGACCAACAGCCAACCGGACTGTGAGACCTTTTCCTGTAACAGTGGCTCCCAAGCAAATAGTTCCTCTTTCCTGCGTTCCACGCCCCCTTTTCCTTCCCCGCCCCATAAAAGCCCATAGACTGGTACATTAGTTTATAGCCTTTGTACTGTATGAAACTGGGCGAGAGAAAGGGCAGGGGGGAGATGAGTAGCTGGTGAAAAGTAAGACTGTGGAGAGAGACAAAGAGCGAAGGCTCATGTCATAATGATAGTATTTTAAATAAATGACGAAGTAGATGCATGAGTTAGTGGGGAGGGTTTCATTTAGATTAGTAGTAACATTTTGTTTTTTAACAAAAATGAGCAAAAGGTTCTTACGAGACACACAGTTTCATTTAACTTCATTTACTGATATGAGCACAAAACATTAGGGTGGGTGTTCTTTATTTTTAAAAAATGTAATATAACTCATTCTCAAATTCTCCACTTTCCTCCCCCCCCCCACTCATGTGATTGGCAGGCATCTGTTGGGTGTTCCTTATGTTTATATCTACTTGACAGATATATGCAGCGCTCCGTTGTCCCAATCTGGGTTAATTAGGAAGGTCTGAGAGAGAGAGAGAAATCTGTCATGTCCCTTGGGACCCTCCTGAAATGTCAGTCGAGTCACTGTAGAAAAAGCAATGCTGGGGGGGGGTTGTAGTTCAGTGTCAGAGCATCTGCTTTGCATGCAGAAGGTCTCAGGTTCCCTGGCATCTCTAGACAGCTGGGAAAAGCTCCTGGAGATCAGTGACCAATCAGACTGGATGGTACTGAGTTAGATGGGCCAATAGCAGCTTCCTATGTCCTCATCTTTGTTCCTATGGCTTTTCCCCAAGCCCTTACTCAGCCTTAATGAACTCCAATCGTTCAGTTACTCCAGATTCACATGGACCTATAGATAGCTGAAACTCAGGCTTCAGCACCTGCAATACAAGCTTATCATGTTCGCTCAGAAATCAGTCCCACTGCTATATTTGATTCATTGGTTAGATCGGGGATGGGGAAACCTATGGCCCTCTGTTTGTTGGACTACAGTTCCCATCATTCCTGAGCACTAACCCTGTGAGCTAGGGGCTGGTGAGAGTTGGAGTCCAGCAACATCTGGAGGACCACAGGTCCCCCATCCCTGAATCTATTAAAACTGGTTGGATCAATGAAAAATGCACCCTTGATTAATCAGGTTGCAGGTAGCAGGTCTTTAATTTGTTAAATTATTTTTAATAAGTTAACAAAAAAACAACCACCCAGCAGGTAATGTGGTATCTTATTGGAAGCATTCCTTCCATGTATATCAGAGAGGAAAGAATACTTCTTCTCAGATGTGGTGTCTGCTTTGCTGGATGTGTGAGTTATGAAAAAAACACACCAAAGGGTGTTTCCTTCTTGAACCAATCAACGTTTTTCCTCATAGGCATATTTCTGCATATTTTATTTATTAATTGATTCTTTAGCTGCTACCATTCATTGACTAATATTTCTCTTACTGGACTACAGCCCTAGTTGAATGCTGCCTACTGAAAGAGGACTTGGTAGAGCCAAAAACAAATGAACCAATTCAAACCCTACACAGAATGGAGGAAGGGTCCCAAATGTTACTGTGGTCTTGACCGATTCCCCTTTAATCGTAGCACTTTTAAATGAATCTGAAAACAGCAATGAAAGCTATCCTTTAGTTGTTGCTATAATGAGAAAGAACATGAGAATGGGCTCACTGATGAAGACCAGTTAGTGTTTTCCGGCAGTGGTGTGGAAAGTAGGACACCCAACAGGAGGTAGATCTAGAACCAATGGCAAAGAGAATCGCCTCCTGACAGGCTGTAAGTCAGGAATCAGGCCAGTGGGGACTGCCCAAGGGCAGACTCGGGTTAATGGGGCAGCACCCCTTTTGCCCAAATAAACCAGCCTCTACTGGGCCCCAAGCTGTTGGATTATCTGGTGGTGGCAAGGCAACCATTTACATTTTTCTGCAATGCCACCGAAGCAATGTTGCATCAGGAATGGGAATTTAAAATGGACTGTGGATGGTGGAACCAGGTTATCCATGGACATACATGCTCAGAGAGTGGCTGTGTTGGTATCTTGCAGCAAAAAAACCTTCCCACACCTTTATTGTATTGTGGCATGAAAATGTCATGAGCATGGGCAGGAGTCGAAGGAGAGGGGAGTTACAGGGACTGCCACACATACCTCTTACTCATTCAAGAACCCAACAACATAGGAGCCCTCATGTTAGCTATCCCTACATGCAAACGGACAGAAGGCCTACAAAGGCTGTATTCGCATCATACATTTAAAACACTATGATACAATTTTAAACAGTCACAGCTTCCCAGAATGAATTCTGAGAGCTGTAGCTCATTAATAGTGCTGACCACTATTCCCCTCCCAAAGCTCCAATTCCCAGTTTTGCCCAAAGAGAGATTGACTCTTAAACCACTCTGGGCACTGTCATTCTGTGAGGGGAGTGGGGGCAGGTCTCCAAACTGTCAGCATTCTGGGCAAACTACAGCTCCCAGAATTCTTTAGGTGAAGGCAGAATGCATGAACAGCAGAGCCAGAGCCAATAACAAGGAAGAGCCAATGGCAGGTGGAGCCAATTAATTCTAGTTTTGTTGCCACAAAACTCCCTGGTGAGTTCCACAAGGGCAACCTTGAGACAAAGGAAGAGGAGGAAATTGACAAGCAATGCCAATGGAGGGCAGGCAGGTGGAGGGGCTGGCTAAGGGCAGGCAGAGGTGGGTGTGGCAGTGTCCCATCCCATTCCAGCCTGCACTTCATCAAACATTGTCCTGTCCTCTGCCCTCTTAAGCTTTCTATGGAAATCACTGAGAATGAAGCAGCCCTGAGTTCTGTCTCTTGGTAACACAAAAATATCACAGAGAACATGGAATGTAACTGACTTTTCTATGAAGGGAGACACTTTCCTTCCAACTAAGTGTCAATATGGAGCCAAGCCAGTTCTGTATTGCCCTTCCACACCTGCAGTATTTATGGGCAAAAATCATTTCCCCTTTTATTTTGTGGCAGGAGTTATCTCCCCCAGGAATGTGATCTTTGTACGGTTTTAATCTGGGGACTTATGGTCAAAGGTTCTATAGCAGACCTTTGACCTCTTCTTGATTTGGGATTTATTATTGCAGCATCAAAGCAAAATGCTGATCACCAAATCAAAAGAAAAGAAAAAAAGGAAGCAGGTAGGACGATCTGACAACACACTGAAGTAGATAAAAAGAAAAACATCTTGCATGACCAAGGGAAAGCACAAAAATGGTTGTTCACCTTTACATACTATTCCAAGGGCAAAAGGCTCATGTCAACCATTTGAGCTCCATTCATACTGGCAATTTCCCCCATTGAAAATATGGGGTTTCAATGTCCACTTTAAAAAAGAGAGAGAGAAAGGGAGATTTGTTGTTGCTGAGGAAGAGCATTTAAAATGAATCAAACATGATTTCCCTCAAAATTCTTGACAAAATGGATGCTTCTTCTTTCTTCTTTGGCGATCACTCATAGCCGAGTAAGATTGCCTTCCATGAACACTGTCTTAACAGTGAGTCCGTAAGTGACTGTGGAGGCCAATTCTGGATCCACACGTCCTTCCACAGTGGGGACATAGGTTTCCGGGAGGGAGTTGATCACAGTGAGGGTTTGCCAAGCATTCCTTCCTCTTAGCACATTTCTCCCTTTCGTGCTGAGTTCAAGCATCTTCAAAGTCCACGGCACCTTTGATAAAGGCTGTTGTCCAATTGGAGCACTCGCAGGCCAGTGTTTCCCAATTGTTGGTGTTTATACTACATTTTTTAAGATTTGCATTGAAAGAGTTTTTAAACCTCTTTTGTTGAACACCAGCATTATGATTTCCATTTTTGAGTTTGGAATAGAATAGTTGCTTTCGAAGACGATAACCAGGCATCTGCACAGCATGACCAGTCCAACGAAGTTGATGTTGAAGAATCATTGCTTCGACACTGTACACTGTCATTAGTTCATCTGTCTTCCCAAGTAATATGTAAAAATTTTCGGAGACACCATTGATGGGATCTTTCCAGGAGTTGGAGATGGTGTTTGTAAGTGGTCCAGGTTTCACAAGCATATAGTAAGGTTGGTAGTACAATGGCTTTGGAAACAAGCATTCTGGTTTTATTGCAAATGTCCTGGTCCTCAGACACTTGGCACTCAGAATCCGGAATGGAGGAAAGTTGCTTATTAGCATTATGTCAACTTCCCCACTACTCATGGATACGTTTCTGTTGAGGGTTGGTATCTACAGGTTCAACAGAAAGTGCTTCATACTGAGTCAGACGACTGGTCCATCTAGCTTAGTATTGTCTACACTGATTGGTAGCAGCTCTGCAGCGTTTCAGGCAGGGTTACATTCCCAGCATACCCTGGAGATGCTGAGGATTGAACCTGGGACCTTATGAATGCAGAGCAGATGCTCTGCCACTGACTAGTTTAATAATACATCAAGTAGCTTAATAGTCATTCCACTGAGAGAACTCTGGAAATTGTATTTTGTCAGAGAGGCCACAGATCCAGAAGACCTACCCCAGGATTTTGTAGGAAGCCATACCTATTAGGCCAGATAAAACAGTCACAAATTTGACATGCAGTATTCCCATATGTCAGTGGGGACTAATATGTTGCCCCCTAGGTATTTGTACTCCAGCTCCTGACCACTACCCATTCTGACCACTGCCCATTGTGGCTGGGGCTAACGGGAGTTGGCATTCGACAACATCTGGAGGGCAGCAGGTTCCCCAGTTTTGCCCTATGTAAACAGCATCCGGTCGCTTGATTGGTCCACAACTGAACAGATGTTCTTCCATGTGGACCTCCCTCACTAATTCTATTTGTGGAGAACTTTGAATTTCCTGCATTTGTAAATGGAAGGAATGAGCCACATCCATTGGATTGTATATTTGAGTTTTCCTTTTTAAAAGAACACTCTGTTCCAGAGCACAAGTAATGCAGCAGGGATGTGAAAGCCATTCTTAGTGTCCTGTCTAAAAAATGCTCTTCCTCTCGTGTTCATTCTATACCAGGGATAGGGAACCGGTGGCTTCATGGTTGCTGTTTGTCTTCAACTCTCATCACCCCCTAGCCAGCATGGCCAGTGGTCAGGGAGTTGTTCACTGACAATATCTGTAAGGTCACATTCTCCTCACCTGTGTCTGAGGGGATGTTAGGAGCCATATTCTAGGTGTTTCCCCCCAAACATTTGAGCCTACTATGCCAAAAATGAATTCATTGTTTGCCAAATATTCATCTAAAGCAGCGGTTCTCAACCTGTGGGTCCCCAGATGAGTCCCCTGAGCTTGCTAGCTAGGAGTGATGGGGGTTGTAGTTCAACAACATCTGGGGACCCATAGGTTGAGAAAAGCTGATCTAAAGGGTTATCAGAGGACACCATCTAGCACATAGTAACTTCCTATGGCATGGGCTTGATACACTGACAGTTTTAACAGTATACCAAATGGTGAGGAGGCTTTTTGCGTGTGTGTGCATGAATGTGCAGGCACACACACGCCCCCAACACATATCATGCAGTTTTCTGATCTGGCACAGAAAAGTCTCATTGCCACTACTTCTGATGATACAGCTAAATTCCCCTCTTTATCCTGAAGCATAGAGAATGTGAGTACCATAACTAAGGTCTAAAGTATATATAAGGTTAAAGATATCCTTTGTTATGTATTCAGCAGCCGCTGTGGGTCTATGGGGAAGGGGAGTTTAAATCTTTCTCTCCCTGCACCATCTCCCACAAAAACCTGCCCTCTGTAACTGCTAGTTGCTTTACAAGGTGCCAATGGAGACTTGCCTTGAAACGCAAGCAGCAGCTTCAGAGACATGGTTTTCATCAGAATTGTGGGAAGGATAGAAAGATATTCCCCTGAAGTGTCAGTGTTTCCCAGGCATTGCAATGGCTGCTACTTACATAAAAAAACAAACCCATGCATGCTAGTTACATTTGCGACACTGACACCATGTTTAATTTGAGGCTAAGAATCTTGCTTTGCTTACATTTCTGAGATATATATTGTTTCTAAAAACTTGAACTCACTGAAACAGATCCAATTGTACACTTTGTTGAAATGTTTTAAGCAGCTTATACTTAGGATGCTGGAGGCATCCTAAATACTGGAATTGATAACCCCTAGCAAAGTCCTTAAGTTATAAGCAGGCCCTCCCCTCCAGATGTGGCTGCACAACAGCTCCCATCACCACTGGCCATGCTTGCCGGGGCTGATGGGAGTTGTAGTTCAACAGCATCTGGAAGGCCACAGGTTCCCCATACCAGGCTTCTAGTATTATATCCAATGCTAGTCCTACATAGAGTAGATCCATTGAAGTTAATGGGCATGACTAATTTAGGTTTATTAATTTCTATAGCTCTACTCTACTTGAGTAGAAATTAGTTTGGTGTACAACCCATGGTTAGAGATGGAAAACTTGTAAAATGAGGACGCAGGGCAAATAAAGTGTCCCTTTATGTATTTCCAAAAAAGAGGAATCACACACACCTCAAAAGGATAAAAAAAGGATACATATTTGCATAGTATTTGTATATGCATAATTTATATGCATAAATCAAATTTAGAAACAAGGGCTATAATTTAAATGGAAATGTGGTACCTCTCGCCCTAGCAGGGGAAACTGTGACCAGGTGATCTGTGTGCTTGCTTGGTCAGCTGTCTAGGTGTTCATTGTTGATGGGCCCCTGATGCTCTCCCATCTGATGGCACTTCATCTCAGATTTAGACAGAGAATCCCTCCAAATAAAGGAAACCTTTAAATATGATGATGATGATGATGATTGATTAAATCTTTATACTGCTCTTCATCTGAAGTTCTCAGGGTGGCTCACAGCATAGAAAGACAAAATATATAATAAAAGCAAGAACAAAAATAAAGCAAACAAACACATCCCACAAACACATTAAAAAAGACATAGAATATTAATCATCCAAAGACCTGGTTGAAGAGGAGCATTATTGTCTGGCACCTAAATGTGTATAATGAGGGCACTAGGCAAGCCTCCCTGGGGAGAACATTCCACAAACAGGGAGCCACTGCAAATGGATATATGTCCTCTGTGGATTAGGACACCTGACCAGCCTAAAATGTTTTTCTGTGATGCAGACTTTGTTTGTCATTGTTGCGGCAAAGCAAGGTGTCTTTTTATTTTTGAGCATTGCCATAATAGCAGGGAGCTCTGGTTGGTTCATGGGCTAAGACCAAAAGGGATCCCTCTCCAAGCAGAAAATCTGAGCAGTCAAAGAGGAGGACAGTGGCAGGTCAGAAGGCATTCAGGCACTGAAACCACCTCATAAACCTTCCAAGAGTTCCTAGATGTTGTAATCTCTTGGGGTTCTCTACACCCAACCCTCACGTTTTCAATCCCAACAAACAAATATCTTCTCTCTTTCTCCTTTTTTTTTTTTTTTTGCAGGGGTAAGCTCCACCATTTGAAGTTCCCCCTCCCTGAAGCACAAAGAAGCAATGTATAGAATAGAATAGAATAGAATAGAATAGAACAGAACAGAACAGAATAGAATGATGTACTATGTGTCTCTCTGAGACCACCACCCTGACATAGTCTTCAGTCTCCAAGAATTTGTTTAAAGACTAGGTGTGTGGAGCCCCTTATTAGCCTTTGGAGACCTTTATTTCAATATATACATAACTGCTTCCCAAAATGTATCCACCTTCAGAAATAGGAGAGAGAGAGAGAAAGCTCTCCCTCATCTGCAACCCCTGGTTCCTTTATCATTCCGTGGGTTTGTGTTGTTCTTCCTTCAGCCAAATTCTGCCTTAACTCAGAATTATATATCCTGAATTAGAATGTGCATTCTACTGCTGTGTCCAGTTAATTTGCTTCTTTTTCTTCAGTGGGAGAGTTAGGGTAATTTTAACCTCTGAACATAGGTGACACCCACCCCATAAACTACATGCCCCCCAAATGGGAATTGTAGTTTACCCCTCAAAGAAGTACAATTCCCAGCACTGTTAACAAACTCATCATTCCCAGGATTCTTAAGGGTAAGCCATGTGCTATAAACATGCTTTAAATGCATGGGGTAGATGCAACCTTAATGGTCTTACAAGGAGCATCCTTCTAGACTGCAATGTGCATGACTTCACACATTTCAAAATGTGGTAAGCCAGCCCTGGGGACCCTCCTGTTCATCCTGCTGAGTGGATCCATAGGATTCTGCCAGAAAGTCCTGCACCACTGTCTCTGCTGCCCATGTAACAATGCACATGTATGCATTGATAAAAATACAAAAAAAGCAACCTGGATTTGATTGCATGTTTTATTTGATAAGTGTTGGGTGTTTTTGTTTTGCAGTGTTTTATCACTGTGTATATGTAGCCCTCTAATATGGAGCACTGGTAAAACACTACATGAAAATGATCTGAATATAAGCATACATACAGTCACATCTCAGTCTCTACTATTTTTGCAATCTTTTATCAATGCACAGAAGTAAAACTGCGCAAAAATCACCTTGATGCATCCATGTATAGAATCACAAAAGATTGCGCTTTTTTTGCAGTGTTTTATCAGTGTGAATATGTAATTTGGAAGTATGGGAATGGGGAAAGGTGATGAAAGACCTAGAAAGCTGCAGAAACAGGTTTATGCAAAGTACAAAATTCAGAAACAAAAAGAAAACAGGAATCAGTGGAGGTTTCCTAATGCATCCATTCCATTTTAGAAATAGGATCAGGGAATCCCAGAACTCCAAAAATCCATGGATGAATTTAAACAAGAGGACTGTCAGAGATATTCCTGTATAGAAGTTGCTTTGTTGAACCAGAAATGGTTCAAAGTCAGGCAGTTGCCTAGGTGCTATTAAGGGCATCAGACAACTCTGATCCATGGACATTATTCACCTAAAGCTTTGTTCTACAGAAGTCCCATTGAAATGAATGGACACGTGTGTGCATGCTCCTGTGCAGCTCCCCTTCATTTCAATGGAGCTTATGTAGAACCCATATGAATTAACAGGATGGGAGAAGCACCAAAACAGTTTAGGCTGGACTCTAGTAGTCTCACCTTTCTGCTGGACTTTGGCTGTGGTTCTCCATTGCATGGGGGCTGGATTAGACAACCCTGGGGGTTTCTTGCATCTCTGCAAGAATTCTATGATTTTAACAGAATGAAAGCATTTGCTGAGAAACCTTGACAGGCCATGACGTCACCAAGCTCAGAGATCCAACTGGGTTTCCACCTTTCATCAATAGTTTGAACAGCAACCTTTGAATCATAAATGATAATTTAGAAAAAAGGGGGGGGGGGACACACCTCCCCACCATCACCACACATTTTCTTTAGCTCATATGGCTGCATTACTTGTATATTTATATATTCTGTATTTATGTTACCAAAATGTAGTATTTTGTAGCTGTTCCAGTTTGTTTAACTTGTAAGATAATGATGCTGATGCTAATGATTCTTAATATGGTCTCCCATCCCTAGGCCATTTCCCCTTTCAGGCATAGTTCCTAACCCCACCCGCACCCCTTCCAAGCTCTGTTGGTTCTCTCCCACCAACATCAAGGTTGCAGATTGGACATTTTGTTTTTTATTTAATGACTTACCCTTTCTTAAATTATTTATTAGTGTTTTTGTTGGGCTTCATTTTGGTTTTTTGGTCCCCCCCCCCTCCAACTTTCACACTCCGCCCCCATCTCTGCCGCTGTCAACTGGCAGTTAAATGATGTGATTACTAGACCTTGTGTTTGTTTTTCCTACAAAAGAGAAAGAGAACGAAACACTTCAGTATATTTGTAAATAAAAGCTACCTGTAAATGAACTGGGATGTTGCTTTTGGAGTGAATTCCCCTCCACCCACTCACTGCATTTCACAATGAAAAAGACACCTATCACTCACTGGCGTGCAGGAAGTTCTGTGTTCAATTCCTGACATCTCTAGTGACAATGGACTCCAGCTTGGGCTATGGATCTGCACGAGTCCTTACAGAGCAGTAGGCCAGTCAAAGCAGGTAAGTGGGTGTAGGTTGGCTCATCCCCCCCACCTCCATGTAGAATTTGAACCATTGGGGCACTAAGTTCTACAAAAATCCTTCTTAAATATTATATTTAAGGTTTTCTCTATGAATGAGTAAACTTGTTGATTTCAGATTCTCATTTCCCTTGCCTTTGTTCTCCACACTGCCACATCAGTTTGCGAAAAATAAAAAATTAAAGTCTTCAGGAAATTTCATCAGCATTTCAGTGTGATTTTCTCCTAGTTTGCAGTTTTTTGTATGCAATTTCCCCTAATATGCAAAGCCATTCCCCCTAATATAATGCATTTGGTATATTATTTTCACAAATATATGGATTTATTTACACAAGTATATGCACTTTTTTGATACACATTATTGCAAAATTTTGGGAAGAGCAAATTTTGAAGGATCTTGGGTTTTTTCCCCATCTGAAGTTGTCAGCTCCCCCCTAAACCCCTTCCCACCCCAATGCCAGCTCTTATTCCTTTACCACCAGTTTGAGTCAAAGTAGCTAGTAGATCATAGGTAGGCAAGCTAAGGCCTGGGGGCCAGATCCAGCCCAATTGCCTTCTCAATCTGGCCTGTGGACGGTCCAGGAATCAGCGTGTTTTTACATGCCTAGAATGTGTCCTTTTATTTAAAATGCATCTCTGGGTTATTTGTGGGGCATAGGAATTCATTCTCCCCCCCCAAAAAAATATAGTCCAGCCCCCCACAAGGTCTGAGGGGCAGTGGACCGCTGAAAAAGTTTGCTGACCCCTGTAGTAGATGATCAAATTTACCTACCTGCCATGACCATTTTTACCTGCTGATTTGGGTGCATGTTTAAAGCAACAGGTTGTTTGACCAGGTACATGCTCATATGAGTTGAGTTGGCTTAGAGGGCTTTTACTTGCTTATGGTAGGCATATAGAACACCAGGTATTTGAATGAAAAATAACAGGCAGCAGGGAGGGTAATGGTTGGCATGGCAGTAGGGCCAGGAACAATTCATTGTTCCACTCACCCAGTGCTGGTGGAATGGGATCTGCTGGGGTTGGCCAGAGATGAACTTCATCATATTACAAATCAAGCTGGCAAATTCTTGCTGGGTGACTGGGGTGAGGATGCCAGCCTGAGCTTGAGGGTGCCATGGTCAATTCCCCCCCTCCTCAGGTCCCTTATGGGGAGCCCTTCTTTACCATGTTGATCCTGCTCAGTGCCATTTTGACCAGTATACAAAGACAACATTCTTTTGCCTAACAACAGAAAGTCATAATTTTCACTATAGGAAAGGTCCGGCGGGGGGAGGGGAGGGGACTCCAACCAACTGCAAATCAGGTGAGGAGGAAAAATATCCTTTCTGGTACAGTGGTACCTCAGGTTACAAACACTTCAGGTTACAGACTCCGTTGACCCGGAAGTAGTACCTTGGTTTAAGAACTTTACCTCAGGATGAGAACAGAAATCGCAGACCAGCAGCGCAACGGCAGCGGGAGGCCCTATTAGTTAAAGTGGTACCTCAAGTTAAAAATGGTTTCAGGTTAAGAGCGGACCTCTGGAACAAATTAAGTTCATAACCAGAGGTACCACTGTATTTTCAACCAGTGACCCACATTTCATGGTAAAGGCTCTAACTTGAAGGTGCGTGAGCAGAAGCTTGTGCGGTCAAATGGCCCCAAACTTGGGGGGGGGGGGGAGCCTTATAAATGCTTGTATCCCTATGATGTGGGCAGAACTATACCCTCTATTGCAGCTCATCTAGGCTACACACCCCAGGCAAAGGTGTCCCAAGTTGATCTGAGCCCAGAACAAGGCTTACAGACAGAATTTATACCTTACCCTTTGGATGGAGTAATCTCACAGAGAAACTTACAGAAATCCATGGTTCTAGTCCTAAGGCTGAGGATCTAGAAAGGCCTGACATGAGGAATAAGAGGGAG